CGGTATGACCATCCTCCTTCTCTCAATCCAACAATGCGACCTCTCTCAAACTCACTTAACTGAGTGTAAGGTTGTCGATTGCGTCGTAGAGGCATGTCTGTCACACAATGAAGTCGAAACCACGAATAAAAGCGCAGAACATATGCACAAGTCGTCACAGCATGCACTTTTATACCAGATAGCGGAAGCATTTTTTTCCCTCGGTGGCGATGTAACACAAGAACCTGCTCTCAAAAGCTAATCATTTACATATCTAGCTAAGATGATGTAACATACCAATTTTTATTCAAATCCAACAAGTCCTTCATGGTGCGTTATTTTTTTTGTCGTCCAGTGTAAAAGATCCGTTAAAGATCCACTAAAAAGTAACAGATACGGATCTTTTTTTTCCCTCAGATATCCGCAGATACGGATACCCGGCACATCACTAATATCAATATATTTTAAAAAATAAATAATTAATAAATAAGCAGAAGTGCCACTTTAGTAATTTTTACATCATACATTAGATTCCTTATGAAAAGTCATATCTATCAGACCCCTTTTCAGTCCTGTAGACAGTGCCTCTTTAATTTCTATAAAGGAGAGCATACACACATTCAGAAATATATATATATAAATATAAAGCTATGCTGGTCTTACTGAATGAATAAAATTTTGAGTGGAAGCAGACTTCTTATAAAAAATTCAAGTGAAACAGTCAAAAAGGACATTGTGTTATGAAAATAACCCAAAACCTCAATAAAAGTAAAATATTTTATATTGTATCAGGAATCAAAGTTTAAACCACATCTCAAACCACTATGGGAAACAAACTATTGATTTTAACTAGAATTTGCTTATTTTTAAACTTATTTATTATCAATTTAACCCTTCCATTGACGAGATAACTCGTCAAGTTTACATAGAGTTACAAAAAACACGGTCGTTAAGGCCACTTTTGAAAAATTTTTTTTTTTTATTTTTGGAATGTTTTTTAAGTCTCCAAATTTTTTCAAAAATTTTTACCTGCGCAAAAAACTTTTATCACAATTTTAATCAACCTTTAATGATGCGCGATTAACACTTAATTGTTTTTTAATGCGATTTTTTTATCAAATTTAATTAATCATTCTAAAGTTGTAGTGCACGGATTTGACTTCAGTAAAGTTATTTAAAGCTACTTTCTGATGTCAAAAACGACCTCCAATAGTTTTTAATTTTTTTAATTAATATATTTTATTATATACTAGCTTACCCGTCGTGCATTGCTGCGATCTCAGAAGAAATGAAATTCAAGCAAACTCGTTATGATAAAATAAAATTTTCATTTTATCATTTTCATTGAAACTTATTATTATTATTCATTATCATCGGGAAAACATTTCAAATTGTCATTTCAATTCTATTTATTTATTGGAGTGCATGTGGATACACGATATTTTTTGTTTTTCTGTCTGGTGCGTACGAAGGTTCATGTATATGTGGCCGGCTCACGCGTCAGAAAGTTTTCCAACACGTGAGCCGGCCACATACAGTTGTCCATGGGAGAAGCACGGATTCTCCAAATTTAACCCACACACTCGCAGCGATTGTCAGAAGTGCAATATTTCTCATTTTTATATATTTTTTAAAATCCTTTATAATTTTCATTATTTAATTGCTCCTTCCTTTCTTCCTTGGCACGTTGTGAAATTTCTGATAGTTGGATAATAAACCGTTTTATTGTAATTTGTCTTTTTAAATTATTTTGAGTTGATATTAAAATTTGGAAAAGGGGG